AAAAGTAGATGTTCCCTCTTGCAACTTGGGAAGTGTGAGGCAGAAGAGATGCAAATATTTGTAAAAATATAAAGAGTAGACCATGACATGCCATTAAAAATGTAAGGCATTATTATCAGTCTTTAAAAAAAAAAAAACACTGACCACTACTACAGTTCCAATCTGAATTCAAACTATTTCCAATGGAATTATGATTATAGAAAATTACAAGGGAAAAAAAAGCAATTCATCACTTACAGAAGCATTGTCCGTATCAATAGAAATTCCTCCTATTACTGGAAGGAAATCTGTAATAAACTTCATTTCTCCACATATCTACTCAACTGAAAGAGAGATAGAATTGTTCCTATCCTTGAGTTTATTACCACTTCTTAGCTGAGTGACCCTGGGCAAAATACTTAGTCTCTGTGCTTCACTTTCTTCACTTGTAAAATGCAGATAACATGACCATATCAGAGTTGTTGTGAAGATTAAGAAATATAAATAGCTTAGAGCAATGCTGTGGTACATGGTGTGTTTAGTTACCTAGTGTTGCTTTAACAGAACTGCAACTGGGTGGCTTTAACAAACATTTATTTTCTTGCAGTCTAGAAGGCTAGAAGTTTGAATTCAGGGTGTTGGCTCTAGGGGAAGGTCCTTTACTCTTTTCAGCTTCTCCTCCTTGGCATCAGGGTGATCTTCACTCTTCACATGGCCTTGCATCTATATTCACCCTTTCAGCTTGCTTAATCTGCTCATTTACATCTCACAAGACTGATTTAAAACACACCCTACTCTCAAACTGTCTCATTAACATAACAAATAAACCCCATTCCAAATCTCATTCCAAATGAGATTATAACAAAAGATACAGGGGTCAGAATTTACAACACATATTTTAAGGACATTGTTGTGTGCCATGGAAACGGACTATGTTCAATCCATAACACAGTATGCACCATAACATTAGTTATGGGAGGTAAGGAAACTCCCATAAGCAGTAGCATGGCCTAGGACAGGTAAGAAGGAAAACGTTTATTGATCACAGCTAGGCTGGTGGTTCAAACCCACAAGCCACTCCTCGGAAGGAAGGCTGGGCAATCTACTTTCGTAGTGATACCGCCTCAGAAACCCAAGGAGGGGAAGCTATGAGTCGGATCGACTCCACGGCATTGAGTTATATAGCAGGCACTTTTTGTTTTTAAATTATTACAATCTGAATAAACAGCTTTCCTCTCATCTCTTCCCTGTGACTACCCCTCCCCTGTTCTTTCTTACCTAAGCATTTGTTTGTCCAGCTTTCCCCCCATGCAAATGGTTGATTGATCTGAGAGATGCATCTCCCTGGGGTAGTGTTCTGCTCTAGGCCTTTCTACTATTTGGCTCAGAACTAATCCACATTAGTGAGTCCAGTTCCAGACCCTAAGGATAACCCAATGTTATAATCTTGGGAGTTTCACCAGTGTCTCTACTTCAGTAATTCTGGTCATTTTTGTGTTTTTGAATTTTGCTCCACATTTTTCCTCACACTCTGTCCAGGATCTCCAATTTTAATCCCTTTCCGAGTAGTTAGTATTGGTAGCTGGGGACCATCTAGTTCTTCTGGTCTCAGGGTCATGAAGGCTGAGGTTCCCAGGGTACACGAGTCCCTTGACTAATTGTTCCCACATGACTTTGATTTTCTTCATCTTCTTTGCTCCAGATGAGGGGAGACCAATAGGTTCATCTTAGATGGTCACTTGAAAGTGTTTAAGGGCCTGGTCACTACTTGCCAAAGTAGTTTGTGAAACAGTATTTTTATGTACTATGTTGTGCCAATTGAGTTTGATGCCCCATCCCCCCAATGGTCCAGAGCCCACAGGCCTGGTGGTGACTCACTCCCTTAAGATGTTTGGTTGTCACTGAGAAGCTACTCCAACCTTGTCCCATTAATTCTATAATGTATATGAGATATGTTTGTAGTACATACACACGTGTAGGAATATCACTAGGCAAATCTATGGTCATGGGTATATTCCCATTTGCCTACCCACATCTGATCTCACCTGTGTATGTATCCACCCGTAGACTAGTGTTTGTTGTACTGATAATGCAGTATTATGTAACAGAATTTGCCTCTGTTGTCTATACTTTTGTCACTCAGTGTCCTCCTTTTCCCTATTGTTACTGTGCTTTTGTTATAATGCCTTTGCCTTCACCCAAATCAATACATGACTCTTAACTAGTCAGATATTTCCCCTCCCCTTCCAGCCCAACCCTGGTAAGCAACAAAGTAAATTTTCTTCCCTGCGTAAACTTTTCCTTGACTTTTTATAAGGGACTCATACAATAACTATCCTTCTGTGATTGGCATACTTCACTCAGTATAATGCCCTGCAAGTTCATCCATGTTATGAGGTGATTCACAGATTCTTCATTATTCTTTAATGTTGCATAGCATTCCATTATGTGACTACACCTCAGTTTGGCTATCCATTCATTTGCTGATGAGCATTTCAGTTGTTTCATAGGAGACACTTTAGAAAATTCCTGTTACTTTAAGTCTGTGCATTGGCTTTTTCCCCATTTTACAGAACAGGAATACTGTCACCAACATGTTCTGAAACCTGACTAAGGAAACACACCTAGTAAGTGGCTCAATTCTGAATTGAACTTCAATGACACCAAACTTCATGCATTTTCTAAAGTGTCACGCAGGAAACCTAAGAGTCAGGAAACCTGGTAATAGTTCTATATCTTCCATCTTTTATCCATTCAACCATGGGCCTTGTCACTTGCTAAATTATTTCCTAAGAGATATAACTTTCTATTTGATAAAATGTATACAACGAATAGGCCCTGCATGCCTGCTTCACAGTGAAAGAAACCTTTCACTTTCAGAGAAAGAAATCTATGAATTATTAAAATCCATTACAATTTTTCTTCAGCTGCCTAAACCAAAAATCCAAACCCACACCCATCAAATTGATTCTGACTCTTAACAACTCTATAGGACACAGCAGAACTGCCCCATGGGTTTCCCAAAGCTGTAAACCTTTACAGAAGCAAATTGCCTCATCTTTCTCCCACAGAGTAGCTGGATTCGATCTAAAGACCTTTTGATTAGCAGACAAACACCCTGACTAGTCTCAATTCCCACCTCTAAGGTGCTCTGTCGCCAAAAACCAATTTTCAGTACCTAATCCTTAGCAGAAGAAAACCACCAAAAGTAAAATTTGGTATTTAATTAAGAGCATACAGGATAATTATAGACATAATTCACTAAACCCTCTACCTAATCCCTATGAGGTTTCACAATTGAATCTCATCAATTTAAACAAGTCACATGAGGAAGCCATCTCACTAGGTACCAATCTGACATTCTCAAGGTGACCACTGATATGAGGTCTAATGGTTACTTTGAAACTACTTACCAGAATATTGAGAACATATACATCAAAATATTTCTTAACATGTTATATAACATTAACATGACAGCCTGTGCTTCAGTGTGTAATTACAAAAATATCACTCGTATGTATGGGGCTTTTGGGAGCTCTGGTAGCATAGTGGCTAAGACACTTGCCTGCTAACCAGATGGCTGGCAGTTCAAACCCACCAGCCACTCCTTGGAAGGAAGGTTGGGCAATCCTACTTCCGTAGTGATACTGCCTCGGAAACCCAAGGAGGGGTCGCTATGAGTCAGGTTTGACTTGACGGCACTTAACAACAACAACAACAACGTATGGGGCTTTCACATTTTCCAAAGTTCTTTCATGTTATTTATTCCCTAAGATCCGAAAGTTCTGTAAGGTAGGCAAGGAAGGTTTATACTTACGTAGTGAATAAAGCATTAATTAGGCTGCTAACCCGAAGGTCAGCGGTTCAAAGCCACTCCACAGAAGGAAGATGGGGCAATCTACTTCCGTAAAGATTCACAGCCTCGGAAACCCAATGGGGGTCACTATGAGTCAGAATCAACTTGATGGCAATGAGTTTGGTTTTGGTTTTAGGAAAAGGAAACTCGTTTACATAATCATTTGGAGGCTTAACTTAGATTTCAGGTCCTCGATTTCTATTCTAGTGTCCGTGCTACAAGTTACGTGAATTTTACACATTAAATTACTCACCAGTACTGATGATTCTACTTCTTAATGAGCAACATTCAAGTATTTCTAATAAAAACTGTGTATCAGATTCTTTTCTTTAACAGAAAGAACTCTTTGCAAACTAAATGAAATCTCCCACTTACAAAAGTAGATATGGCAATAATCAATTTGCAAAAATGTAATGTACTAATAAGGAGCTCTGGTAGCACAGTGGCTAAAGCACTTGACTGCTAACCAGAAGGCTGGTGGTTCAAACCCACCAGTCACTCCTCGGAAGGAAGGTTGGGCAATCCTACTTCCGTAGTGATACTGCCTCGGAAACCCAAAGAGGGGTCGCTATGAGTCGGGGCTCGACTCGACAGCACAACAACAACAACAACAATGTACTAATAAATGAATCTGCATGCAGTACCTGAGAAATATGTACAAGCTGATAAAGTATCCTGAGCCCACCTCCCCAATTTTATCAGCGGACACTGCTATTAGAACTATGATGAAACTATTCTGGACATTAAATAGTAGTAATATTCTATCAACCATTATTATTATTGGTTCAATAACTAAGTAAATTAAAGCAATTTAAAATGTTTAGTATTTAAAAACACAAGTTTTGAAGGTCATCTTAAAAATTTCAGTATATGTTGCCTAAACTATCAAAATACAGATGAGGTTAAAGTTTGATGTGATATAACAGTATCTTATAAAAAGGCCTAACATTTACTCAATGTGATTTAAGAAAAATAATGAATTAAAAATTAGATGCTAGCTCCAGATCATTTAATCTCTCTGAGATTTTTTTAAAAAGGGGGGGGGGATCTTACTATAAAATTTAACTGTCTCTATATAATAAAGTTCTGGAAAATCATGAATACTATGAAAAAACTAATGATTCCAGGCAAAAGATCCAAGATTTCTGCACCAAAACAAGATTAGATGAAAACATTTATTTTTTTGTGTTACAAAAACAAAAATAAATCCAAGCAGATAATGAAATAAACATATATATATTTTTAAAGTGCCCCACCCTGGGTTCTCTGTCCTAGAATTTAGTAGAGTTCAAGTTTAGGTTGCTGCAGTACTTCTCTTGGATGCTATGATGTCTCCATCTTATAACCATGTTTCTCTAATTCAGCTCTGTAATAAAACACACACAAAGGAGTATCACTAAGCATTCTTCATGACAAATTAAAGAAACATTTTTCTTTTAAGGAAAAGATACAATTAATAAATTAAGGCAACGAGTTAAACCTGGGTAATGAATTTAAAATACTATCAAATAGTTTTGTATTAGTCCCTGAAACGAAATTCATGTAAGAAAGAAATTGGATGTGAGTCAATAAAATGCTAATTCAATTTTGCTTTTTCCTATTAGTGAACTTATTTTTTACCTTCTCTTAATTTGCTTATAAATTTGTTTATAGAAGAACTGTGAAGGACTTACTGCTATTTTCCAAATACCTTTCAAATACCATACAAATGTTCCATTCCTAATAAATATTTAAAAATAAAGTTTGAGAATCATTACATGTATGGCTAAGAACACAAGACTTCGGTTTCAAACCTTTAAATCAAACCTGCTGCCCTCAAGTTAATTCTGACTCATAGTGACCTTACAAGACAGAGTAGAACTGGTGGGTGCAGAGTGGCTGGTGGGCTCAAATCACTGACCTTTTGGTTGGCAGCCAAGTGCTTTAACCACTACACCACTAGGGCTACTTTTCAAACCTTTAGGAATTTTAAGTTATAATAGATATACACCCTAGACAGAAAAAAGCTAAACTGATTGCTTTTCATATTGAGACGTATACTGTACTCTAACAAAAAAAAAAAAAAAACACTTATCAATAAAAGTATGAGAATTATTCTGCATTAACTATGTAGACAAAATAAATAAAAGCTATGAAATGTTAAATAAGACCTATCTTAATTTTAAATGCAGATAAAAGATATAGATACACAAACATGAAAAAAGACACTTAGCACGATTTTCAACAATTTATTCAACCTAGCGTTTTAGTCACACTTTTGAGAATATCAAATACAAACTGTTGATCTGCCTCATATAAAACATTTGCACTAAAAAATGCTTACCCTTATGATCAGCTTCACTTACTTAAATTATTGCTGCCATTAAGTGCTGTTGAGTCAATTCCGACTCTTACAGCAATCTTATGTACAAGAGAAAGAAACACTGTCTGGTCCTACGCCATCCTCATAATCCCTGTTATACTTGAGCCCATCATTGCAGGCACTATGTCAATTCATCTTGTCGAGGGTCTTACCCTTGTTCTCTGGCCTTCCTTCCACGTTATCAAGCATGTTATCCTTCTTCAGGGACTGGTCCCTTCTGACCATATGATCAAAGTACATAAGACAAAGTCTGACCATTCTTGCTACTAAGGAGCATTCCAACTGTACTTCTATCAGGACAGATTTGTTAGTTCTTCTGGCAGTCCATGGTACTTACAGTATTCTTTGCCAACACCACAATTCAAAGGCATCAATTCTTTTTTGATCTTCCTTATTCATCATCCAGCTTTCACATGCATGAGGCAACTGAAAATACCATTGCCTGGATTAAGCACACCTTAATCTTCAAAGCAACATCTTTGCTCTTCAATGCTTTAAATAGATCTTTTGCAGCAGATGTGCCCAGTGCAATAAAACGCCTGATTTCTTGACTGCTGCTTCCATGAGTGTTGATTGTGGATCCAAGTAAAACGAAATCTTTGACAACTTCAATCTTTTTCCATTTACCAAGATGTTGCTTATTGGCCCAGTTGTGAGAATTTTTGTTTTCTTTATGTTGAGGTGTAATCCATACTGAAGACTATATTCTTTGATCTTCATCAATATGTGTTTCAAGTCCTCTTCACTTTCAGCAAACAAGGCTGTGTCATCTGTATAATCCAGGCCATTAATGAGTCTCCCTCCAAGCCTGATGTCATGTTCTTCTTCAGAAGTCCAGCTTCTCGGATTATTTGCTCAGCACACACTGTATACATACGGTAGAAGGATGTCACCCTGAACGCATGCCCTTCCTGATTTTAAACCATGCAGTATTCCCTTGTCAAATTTAAACAACAGACTCTTGTTCTATGTATAAGTTCCTTACAGGCACAATTAAGGTTTCTAGAATTCCCATTCTTCATAATGTAATCCATAGTATGTGATGATCCACACAGTTGAATGCTTTTGCATAGTCATTAAAACACAGGTAAACATCTTTCTGGTATTCTTTGCTTTCAGCTATCTATCCATCAGCAATGCTATCCCTCGTTCTACATCCTCTTCTGAATCCAGCCTGCATTTCTGCTTGTTCCCTAAATAAACTAACATTCCAAATACCGCCAGTGACTTGTATGCCACATTCAGATTTTATAACAGTTTAAGAACTTTTGGAGGACTAGCCTATGATAAAATATTATAAAAATATGAAGTGTGAATACTACATCACTACATCTAATAAGGTTAAAAGACATTTGTTTCAAGTATCATTTCGCTTAGATATTACCATACTATCCAATGAAAACACAACAAAAAAATATATGTACAGAACCATGTTTAATACTTATTATTCATTGCCCACAATTTCTTTGCTTACCTAAAACTCTCATTATTTATAACACAAATAATGACCTAACTTCCATGAAAAAATTAAGGTCAGAGATTATTCAAATGAATCATTCTTATCTTCTGCTCAGGCAGAGAAAGCAGTATGAGTTGGTGGTGTAAACACTGATTAGGAGTCAAGAGACTAGTGTATGTCTCTGACTCTGTTCTTTCTTTTGCTAAGTTCAACTAAACTGCTGCCTTTGGACTTCCTGCACTCAGGAAAATTACTATAATGACTGTCTTTCCTATGTAACAATATAACCCCTTTGTTGTCAGGACTGAATGCAAGAAAGTTACACAAATGCTTGTTGTCAATCTTTAGGAAATATGTCAATAGTCTTTGAATTTTATCTAACTGTAAAATTTTATACCTTTCCTATTTAAAATAGAAATAATTTTAAAACTTTTTTAGACATGTTTTCTGCTGCCTTTTTCAAAACCAATGTTGATTATTTTCTCTTATTTTAACAAAACAAACTTAAAAATTTAAGTACCCCAAAACCAAAGCCACTGCCACTGAGTGAATTTCGACTCACAGTGACCCTGTAGGAAAGAGTAGAACTGCTCATGGCGTTTCCAAGGTTGTAAATCTTTATGGAAGCAGACTGTCACATCTTTCTCCCACCAGCTTTCTGGTTATCAGCCAACCACTTAACCACTGTGCCACTAGGGCTCAGGTACACCAAATTTGTTCTTCAAGATTTGTGTCTGTCTGTCTTCCTGATGGGAGGGTGGTCACCAATTATGTTTATAAATTGTTGATAAATACCAAGGAAATTATGAAGTCCTTTTCTATCATCTAAATAAAAAGTTACTTGCTAAAGTTTAAGTAAAGTATGAAACCAAAAGGAAACAAAAATGAGGCTACTAACTACAAAACACCAAAACAAAACAAACACTAATATTATGAGGCTGGTGAATGGAAAAAAATTCAACAAGAACAAGAAAAGGGAAGAACCTCAGCACAAGGGGAACATCACAGGTGCAAGACACACAACTATTTAAAGCAGAAGCAGCAGCATTCCTTCTTTGACAAAACAAGAAAAAAGACTAATAGTAACCTGTAGGTTTGAGGCCTCTTCTTACTATCCAAGAAAGAACTCTGCTGCTTTTATAGTGACGGCTATATCACACATGGTTAATCAGAAATTATACTGGCTTCTTGGAGTTTTTATGTAAGATGTAATGTAGGCTCTGGGAAATCTCATAATGCTACTTTTTTCTACTGATATGCAGAAAAACAAAAAAATATCAGAAGCAGCAAAAAGAATGGCATTTAGTGACTTAGAGACACTGATGGTCTTTTTCTTTCTACATCTACTTAGTGAAGGAAAAGAAAAAGAAAATAAACAGCTTGCTAGGCAGAGTGTTTTAATTTATTTAGCATATCCTTATGGCGTAGTGCCTAAGGCAGCTGACTACTAACCACAGGATTAGTTGTTCAAATCCACCAGCCACTCCGTGGAAGACTAGGCAATATACTTCCGTAAAGATTTACCACCTCAGAAACCCAAAGGGGGTTGCTATGAGTCAGAATTGACTCGATGGCATTGAGTTTGGTTTGGTTTCGTTTATATAGCACTTAGCATTTAAGCCTCACGGCAATCCAATGAGGAAAGTACTAATTATCATCTGCATTTTCCAGGTAAGAAAAGTGGATCACAGAGACTCTTCATTGACTTGCCCAAGATTCACAGAGCTAAATAAGAGGCAGATCTGGTATTGGGACCATACAGTCTGACTCTAGAGTCTATGGTGCTTAGAAAACTCATGTCAGAAAACAGTAAAATCTATTCTTACCATGGCTTATGATGCCACATTAAGGACTGCAGCATTTTACAAAGATTGGGAAGACCTATAATCAAGACAACTTTTTTTTTTTTTTAATTGTGATTTGGGTAAAAGTTTACAAAGCCAATTCATTTTCCATACAGCAGTTCATAAACATTTTATCTCATGACACTGACTGTAATTCCCCACAATGTAACAGCTCTCTTCCCACTTCCTTCCCAGAGTTACCTCTTCCCTGTGTCCTTCCCTCAGATGGACTCCTGCCCCCCAGGCAGTCTCCCTGTGCACACACTGCCCTTCTGTTCTCCCATGATCGATCTCTCCAAGGAGTGTTATCTACCTGATGTAAATGTTCAGCCCATTTGCCAATCTTTTATTTGGCTGGATGCCACAAGAGTGAGTTCAATTCCAGACGTGCAGGGCAACTAGTCCATAGTCTCAAGGGTCTCACCAGGCTCTATCAGACCAGCAAACCTGGTCTCTTTTTGTTTGTTTGTTTTATTTTTAATAATTTTGAGTTTTGTTCCACATTGTTCTCCCACTCTACCTACAATCTCCTAAACAGATCCCCCTCTGAGTGGTTGACAGTGGTAGCTGGGCACCATCTAGTTCTTCTGGTCTAATGGTCTATAGGCTGAGGATCACATGGTCTACCAGTCTCTTGGACTAATTGTTTCCATGCTCAAGACAACTTTCTGAAAACAAGGATATACTGTCTGAAGCCCCAGCAACCAATATAGTAGTCACATGTGGTTATTTAAATGAATTAAAATTAAATACAATAAAAAATACAGTCCTTCAGTTATACTAGCCACAATTCAAGTGCTCAATAGCCACATGTTGCTAGTGGCTACTTTACTGAATAATCCATGTTATTCAGTTATAGAAAATTCTATCACCAAAGGACATTCTACTTAACAGCTCTGGTGATGTTATCAACAGCCTAACAGAAAAGAATTCATGACTAAATAGGGAAATAAAAAGAAAAATTTTACTAATACAGGCATCAAGATTACACACATAAACCTACAGGCACAAACACAATAGAGAACATAAGAGCATGATGTGTTATAAAAAAAACAAAAAATCACAAAGAATATATAAATAATGCTCTATTTGCAAACCAATAAAATAGCAAGATGTAGTAGTGATGAGAAATCCAATTATCAATACATTACTAAAAGTCTCTTGATAAATTTATAGTATTTGATAAAATCAATATAATTTTAAGAGATGAGTGCTATTTTCTGATTAATGAAAGACATAAAAGAAAACCTTGGTGAAATGTGACTCTTGAATGACAAAGGAAGAATGCTCATTTGGCCTCAAATTTAAAAAGTAAAGTTCAAGAAGATAATAGAAAAGAAAAACTAACATAATTAAGTATATGGAATAGTGCTCAACAGAGTAGCAATGTTGCAAAATAAAATTTCTAATGACATAATATGATTTCAGTGAGGAAGAAATGGGGTATGCATATAAAGAAAAAAGGTAGGGTGCTCTCTGATGTGTTTCAGTTTTGAAAAGGAATAAATCAAAGATAAATGCACTGTAAACTTTCACCCAAATCATAATAAAAATTTAAAAAAACAGAGTGTCATGAACTTGTAAACAGTTTAGTTAAATCCTACAATAGACTGAGATATGTAAAAAGAACAAATACGGCTTTGAGAGCCATATATACATGAAGAAGAATGAGAAAGAATAGATTCAATGCTTGGGAGAGATAATGTAATATTAATAATTTAGAGGAAAAGCTCAGTAGCTATTGTTCTTATCTTGTCCATAAAACTACAAGAGAAAAACATCATCATTAAGGTGAACTTGAAAACTAAGGCAGATGAGCTAACTCCAAACTGCATTAAGTAGTTTAAAGTCTCAAGGCTCTGCACAATTACAAGAGGGAGTAGTGAAAGAATTGATAAAGTGAAAAATCAGAGTCAGCAATCACTGAGAAATCATAAAGAATTGTAAAAGGACCAGACTAACAGTGAAAGGTAAATGTAAATTAGACTATTTCAAAAAAGAGAAGAAAGGAGATTGGAAAATTGTCTATGAAATGCCTTTAAACTGTAGAGCTTGTGGTGTCCCTCTCCCCAAAAAAAGCTTGTGTTCCCAAGAGCTACTGTATCTGTATTAAAAATAAACATTTTTAAAAATTATTATATATGATCTCACTTCCTTTTTGAACAAGGGTACTATATGAGACTGGTAAATTAGAAGACTGCAACGGTTATTCTATACTTTGATTTCATCAAAGTATGTGACAGCCTATTTAGAAATCTTTGTGGCCAAAACATAAACATGGGTTGAATCAAAATAAAATTAGGGAGAATGGAACAACCAGAATGGAAATAATAAGAATGTTCATGCATTGTGAAGAATGTAACCTATGTCACTGAATGATCCGTGTAGAAATTATTGGATGGGGAACCTAAACTGCTGTATAAACCTTCACTAAAAGGTGAAATATTTTTAAATATTATTTAAAAGAAGAAAATTAGGCAGGAAAAAAATGGCTTTCAACAGATGATGCTGAGACAACTGGATAATCACATGTAGAAGAATGAAGTTAGACCGCTATCTCACTTATCATATACAAAAATTAACCCAAAATGGGTGGTAGACCGAAAAGCAAGAGCTAGAATCACAAAACTCTCAGAACACATCCTGTAAGTCTTTGTGACCTTGAATTAGGCAATGGATTCTTAAATATGACACCAGAAAGCAAGAAAAGAAAATATAAATTGAATTTCATTAAAATTAAAATATTTTGGTCAAAAGATACTATCAAGAAAATGAAGATAATCCAAAGAGAAGACAACATTTGCAAATCAAGTGTCTAGTAAGGGTTTAGTATCCACAATATATAAGGAATTCTTACAACACAACTAAAAAATGGGCAAAGGTTTTGAACCGACATTTCTCCAAAGAAAATATACAAATGGCCAAGACACACATAAAGAGGATCAACATCATTAGCCATTAAAGAAATGTAAATAAAAACCACAAAGAGATACTAATTCACACCCATTAGTACGGCCATTCCCAAAACACTGGAAAACAACAGATTTTGGCAAGAATAGGGAGGAATCGGAACCCTGGTACACTGCTGATGAGAACATAAAATGGTGCAACTACTCTGGTTAAACAGTTTGGTGGTTCCTCTAAGTTAAACATAGAATTACCATATGACTCAACAATTCCACTCTAAGGTATATACTCAGAAAACCCCCAAAACAGGTATTCAAACAAAAACTTGTGTATGAATGTTCACACCAGCACTGTTCACAATAGCCAAAGTAGAAACAACACAAATGTCAATGAATACAAAACAAAGTACTGATACATGCTATAACATGGCTGAACCATGACAACTCTATGCTAAGTGAAAGAAGCCAGACACATAACTCAGATCACACATTATAGTTTCCATTTATATGAAATACCCAGAATAGGTAAATCCATAAGGCACAAATCAAATTAGTGGCTGCCTGGGTCTAGGGAGAAAGGGACATGGGGAGTGAGGCTTAATGGGTTTAGTGTTGCCTTTTGGGGCACTAAAATGTTTTAGAACTAGACAGAGATGATGACTGCACAACACTGTGAATATATTAAATGTCACTGAACTGTACACTTTAAAATGGTTAATTTTATGTTATGTGACTTTTACTGTAATAAAATAAATAAAATCAGGTGGATTTTCATATGAATATGAACAAATACACCATTGCTACCCTAATCTCCATTCTAGTTTGAGAATCACCAACCTACTGGATCCCAGTCATTTATACTTTTAATTTCTGCTGAGTTATTCAATATTGTAGAGAATTGATGTTGACAGAATTAAATGCCCAAGAATAAAAAACAGCAAATGTGATTCTATTTAAGTACCTTTGTAAAGAGACTAAAAAAGAACAAAAATTGCATGCAATTATACAACATATTCATGCTTATAAAAACAGATGCAGGCAACATGTCTTACTTTTTATAACTCAAAAACATATTTCAAAGATTAATTATCTTTTAAAAGGTCAATTATAATATGTAAGTTGCATATTACATGCTTACAATTAATACTGAGCTACATAAATCTTACCGTAACTGATTGGAGAAGTCATCCTCTACGTTGTCATCATCCCAATTATCCTCCCAGACATGTGCATCTTCATCTTCATCTAAACCAGCCCAGTCTAAAAACAGAAACAGATGCAGTCTAAATATTCTCATATATTATTTCCACAAACACCAAAAACTCCAGAAAGTCTGTCACTGAATCACCCTCACAATTAAAAAATATATAATGCTGTATCTGTGAGAAATGGTAATCTTTCTCTTTATACCCCAAGGTTTATACTCTTTGAAGAATTCCTGAATTTGCAAACAATCTAAAACAAAAGTTAATATAAAGTAATTCTTTTTGCCACACGAAAAGTTATTATACTTTTAGGGAGTATACAGTTACTTTCTTGATTTTTCTTGGGCTAATTTTGTAAGACCTATTTCATAATCTTTCAAAACACAGCACCAATAGCTCAACTGCCCTAAATCAAATAGACCAACAGGAAGATATGAGTTCAGAATTCAAAACTGCTAAATATAAAAAGGATAATTCATATATTAAACCAAAATAATATCAATATGAAACTTAGTTGTTAAAGAACTAATATAAATATGCATAAGGAATGTTACAGTTTCAAATTTTCAAAATTTTATTTTTCTTTCCTTTCCTTTTGGCAGTGGTATTGAAGGTTTAGACAGAGATTTTAGCTTTTCTTTATCATAGTCAGAAAACAAATACATAGATGAACATCTTCAGGCAGTCTAGTACCAGTATAAGGACTATCTATTGAATTATAGTAAGAACACAAGAAATGCAAGGCAACTAGGTACACAAGTACGAAGGAACTATCAATAAGATAGGTTTCTTTCCTCCACCCAAATCTCTAGCCATTATTTTTATTTCAGTGAAAAATACAGGGTGCCTCCAACTACATCCCTCCCCATATGCTTATTGTTATTATTTTTATCCCCTCAATGTAATATCAATCCCACAGCATCACTGTTTCTTGTTTCGACTCTTCCTTCTCTCCTAACCCCTCTTGCCTTCTGAACTTTGTCCTTGGGCAAATACTGCCCTTTTGATCTCGAACAACTGATTGTTCTGAGGAGAGTTTACCTTCCTAGAGTTACTGTTCACCCTTCTAGACCTATTGTTTGACTGAAAATTCAGCCACAGGAGTGAGTTCCAGGTCTGAAGGGTGACCAAGGTTCCAACAGTCTCTATTTGACCAGTAAAAGTGTTTCCCTTTCAGAGAAGGTGGTAGTGGTAGTTGGGCACTCTCTAGTTCTTCTGTTCTCAGGGTCCTGAAGGCTGAGGTTCTCTGCTGCATTAGTCACTCTGACTAATTGTTTCCATGTGTCTTTTATGTTCTCCACTCTTCTTTGTACAGGATGGAGAAAAATTACAGTTGCACCTTAGATGGGTGTTGGCAAGTTTTTAAGACCCCAGTTGCTATTCTCTAAAGTAGAATGCAAAACATTCTTTGTGGACTGTGTTGTGCCAAATGACCATGATGTCCCCCTAGACTATGATCCTAAGTCCCTTGGCCCAGTGACTCACTCCCTCAGGGTTTTTGGTTATGGATAAAAAGTTTTCATAACTATGCCCTTGTATGATATACTATATTCATGGATATACCTGCAGCATAAACATGTGTGCATGCGCACACATACACACAAATGTAGAAATAAAGTCTTCTTATGTACTATATAGTTGGCCCTGTGTATTTGCGGGTTCCACATCTGTGGGTTCAACTAATCGCAGATAGAAAATATTGGAGAGAAAAAAATACCAGAAAATGAAACTTGAATTTGTTGCATGCTGAACATTCATCTGTACCCTTTGTTTCTGTGAAAAAATGGTTCCTGAAAAAGCAGGAAGTGGTCAATCCCAAAAAGGCTGAGGAATTGTAAAGTGTTATTTATATAACATTTACATTGTATTAGCTATTATAATGTAGAGATGATTTAAAGTATACCAGTGCAGAGGATGTGATAGGTTTTATGCAACTACTATGCCATTTTATATAAGGGACTTTCAGCATCACTTTTTGGTATTCACGAGGGCTCCTGGTACCAATCCCCCACACATATGTTGTACCCATCAATATTTCAATACTAGCAAGATCATCGTGATGATGGACAGGTTTCAGTGGCGCTTCCAGACAAGGAAGAAAGTTCTGGTGATCTACCTCTGAAAATTAGCCAGTGAAAACCCGATGGATCACAGAATACTGTTCGACACAGAATTCTACTTGCTTACGTTAGATGTATCATCAACAAAGAACCATTACTAGAGAAGGACACCATGTTTGGCAAAGTGGAGGGCCAGCGAAAGCAATGGAAACCCTCAATTAGACAGACTGACACAATGACCACAACAAAGAACTCAAATATACCAAAGATCATGAAGATGGTATAAGACTGGGCAAGGCTTCATTCTGTTATTCACAGGGTCGTCATGAGTCTGGGTTGACTCAACAACAGCAAAAATGAATCTCAGATTCAAGAGTTTATGCATATCTGCTTTCTTCTACTTATGTTGACCCACCTCCTATAATCTTGACATTGCTTTATCACTGAAAAAATATTATACTGTTTAATGAATGTTTCAAAAAAAATTTAATTACTTAACATTGAAATCCAATGGGACGATTCCCCAAATTAGGCATGCAGCCTGAAGTTCACTCTGACACATATTTTTCCAATGTGTGAAAACCACAAGGAAGCAGGACCACAAAATCTTCGTTTTGCTTCAGCACAAAATTTACATTTCACGTTTTGAAATAGCTTAAAATTTTCTGCTCATCATGTGTCTTTGGTTGTGCTGTCTCTCAAACCTACTACTTTTTGCTTGACTTTAACTTACCCTAAATTAGCTCACATACTCATTCCTCATTAAAAGAACCCATGGCTCTCTGGGAGCTCTGGTAGCATAGTGCCTAAGGCACTTGACTGCTAACCAGAAGGCTGGCAGTTCAAACCCACCATCCATTCCTCGGAAGGAAGATGGGGCGATCTACTTTGGTAGTGATACTGCCTTGGAAACCCAGGGTGGGGTCACTATGAGTCGGGGCTGACTCTATGGCACATAACAACAACAACAACGGAATACTCTGAGGAGCTCTGGTGGCATAGTGGTTAAATCACTGGTTATCACTTGCTGTTAACCAAAAGCTGGGCTGTCTGAACCCACCAATCACTCCACCGGAGAAAAATGGGGTAGTTGGCTCCTATGAAGATTTACATACAGACTTAGAAACCCTATGGGCAGCTCTACTCTTGTTCTATAAGGTTGCTATAAGTTGGAATCAACTCAATGGGTACAGGTTTGATTTACTTTTGGTATGGAGTACTCTCACTAAAAATGTTAATCCTGAATCTAATCATAATGAAACTATCAGGCAAATCTAGAATATTGTACTTTTTTACAAGTGGCTTCTTCAAATAAGTCACGGAAAAAAAAAAAAAAAAGACAAAGGAACCTGTTCTAGATTCTAGAAGTAATAAAACAACCAAATATAATGTGTAAGTAAAGTAATTGAATACTAGATTGGGGAAAAAAGCAGTAAGAGACATTTTGGAAACCATTGATGAAAACTGAATACTGACTATATCTTTGGATGATATCACTGAACTAATGTTAATTTTCTTAGGTGTGACTGTAAAATTGTAGTTTTATCTTATGTTTTTATTCCTAAGACATTCATGTTAAAATTACCTAAGTTGTTGTTGTTGCTATGTGCCCTTGAGTCGTAGATGACTCATAGCGACCCCGCCTTGGGTTTCTGGGGCAGTATTACTATGGAAGTAGACTGCCCAACCTTCCTTCCAAGGAGTGGCTGGTGGGTTTGAACCGCCAGCCTTCTGGTTAGCAGTCAAGTGCCTTAGGCACTACACTACCAGAGCTCCTTAAAATTACTTATGAGTGATGGCCAATTTTGCTGACACCTTACTTGCAAATAGTTCTCCAATTTACATACATAAATATATATATATATAACATACATGTATGTATAAGACACCACTCTGGTGGAGTAGTAGATAAGGCATTTAGCTGCTAACCAGAAGGTCAGCAGTTCAAACTCACCAGCCACTCTATGGAAGGAAGATGAGGTGACCTACTTCTGTAAAGATTTACGGCTTACAGCCTTGAAACCCAAGGGGTCACTATGAGTCAGGTCCGACTCGACGGCATTGAGTTTGGTTTATATAGATGTATATGTAATATATATACACAGACCATGACTGATAGAAATAAAAAAATTTGGCAAAATCTTAAAAACAGATTAATTGCACTGTTCTTTTTAAATAGGGCTGAAAAGTTTCAAAATTTAAATGTGGGAAAAATAGTTGTAAAAAATATATATATACATATAGGTTATTGGAAATAACCTCTGAAAGTCTTCCCTAATCCTTTCTCCTCTGATTTAAAAATAAAAAGACGTCAAGTCCATTTCAAGTCATAGTGACCCCCATGTGTAGAGTAGAACTGTCTTGACTAGGTCTTCAATGGCTGAATTTTTAAGAGTATATCACCAAACATCTCTTCCAGGCACCTCTGGAACCTCCAACCTTTCAGTCAGCAGCCCACCATATTAACTACTGGTACCACTTGGAGAATCTTGTGTAATCTCTATCACATCACTAACTTATTACAGAATCATAATCACCAGTTTATATGTCTACGCCCATTACTAGTATATATGTTAATAACAACTACTTTTCACTTGTCTTTGTACTCCTCAGCTATAAAAAACCTAGCATACAGACAACAAACGATTGCATACAACAGGTAAACAACAAATGGTTATGAAAGGAGCAACAGATTTCTAAAACACAATTAACAAAAATAAGACCATATATTTTTTTGTTTGATTCTTGTCACTCCTCGAACATAGTAATTAGACTTTTGGTAAGATGAACGAATACGCAGACAAGCGACATAGACCCTCTTCAACAAAGAAAAGAAAAACCAATTGACAGAGATACAGAAGATAATCCTGGAGCCCTGAGCTTTGAAAGAAACTATACAGAAGTGGAATAGGCACCAACTAGGGGAAAAACCTGAACAAAAACAGTGAGTACAGAGATGGTCAGGGCTGTGGACTCTCAGCTACTCTGATGGAAC